TTAACAAGTATTTTTTTCTATTTAGGGTTCTTCTTCCTTGGAGTTCAACATTCCGATTCTACATTTGGGTTCTATATTCGAGTTCTACCTTCGGGTTCTACCTTCATGTAACAACTGGAACTTCCTGCTCTCGTTGTCTACCGGTAAAAGCCAAGCACGTGCATAGGTGGTTTTTCTTTTCTTATTTTAATATTTACCGGAAACCATTTAGCCAGGGGGTAGTACAAATTAATTTTCTTTAGCCTGTCCTCCAGGACTTTTCTTTATGTTTTTTGTTCAATAAATGTCTGTGAGCCTTGTGAGTTTGTGTCTCCTCAGATTCAGAGACACAACCTTGTTATTTGTTATTTCATTTCCTAGTTTTTGAAACTAGGTGGCGTCCAAACCTTAATCGTTTTGCATCCAAAAACCAGTGTACAAAGAACCTCCCCCTGAGGCCACATATCTACCGACTAACCTAGTTTTTGAGGGATAACATGATATAGACACACGTTCCGGTTCGATTTCACTATCCTGTTATGCGGGTTCATCCAGCAGATTTATCAAACTTATCTAAGAAGTGACTGTCCAAATTGATGTAAAAAGCGCCAAGAAAAGATCGTCATGGAAAGGTAGAACACTAACTTAATTGGTATTCATTCCTCATGAACTCTTACGGGAGTAATATACTGGCAGTTTATTATTTTGCCTGTCAGTCAATGGCACTCATGGAGGAACGAATCACACAGTTATATGTATATTGGACACCCTGTATTTGCTACATTTTGGTAGAGAGGGTGAGGGAAGAAAGTTTTATGAGCGAACGGAGGAGGGTTGTTTGCATTACTCGATGACGGTGGGGGCTCAGGCTGGGTGAAATGGAACAGTAAAATGTTAAGTGAAGTTGCTCATAATAAGAGCGTTTCGACAGTGAAGCCTCTGCTATTTTGGATTTGACGGGAAATTACTTGATCCATACGGAAACTATAATTAACATTAGTAGCTTTAGAATGCCTTCGACGATTAGAGCGGATTACGATTTTTTGTTTTGCTCAACCTGCTCTCACGAGATATTTTACTTTTCCTGCTATAAACCAAGAAAGGTGTTATTACCGGAAGAGCTTTCGAGTTCACAGGTTGTTGTTCACTACTATAAGCGTATCCATTTACTTGTTTGTCCACCAATCTTTCCTCACACACGGTGACCATGCAACTACAATAATTGTCAGTGTAACACCTGAAATTTATCCGGCGGTTTTCGTGTTGCTAGACATGGTAAAGCAACGTTAAGACTATTGTCGCCACACACGGGTAGCAATGAAGAAAAAATAAGTGTAATGAATACAATATGTTGTCACTAATTGTAATTCTAGAAATACTCCTCAATGATTTTGAGTACTCGAATCAATAGCAAAGTACTGCTGTAGCGGTAACCTCCACTTTTTGAATTCCAGCCCTTTGTAGCTCTCTATGTTTGATATTCACCTATATATGTGTAGTACAAGGACGCCATTGTCCATCCGTGGGTTCAATACGATTGTTACATTGAATTATACTCGAAAGGGCTGCCATTTTTCAAAACAATTAACAATTGCAGTTGTTAAATTTTTATTTAAAAATATCCTAGGAACGCTACCGTGTGATCCAATTAATAATAATTTTTAACTACGTCAACTGGAAGTACTAAAATCATGGAGGTATTTACTAACGTCCTTGAGTGACAAAGAACCGCCTATGTGGTAGGTGCTCTATGTTCGGCTTCATAGAGGCAAACGCTGTAACTCGGAGAAGCTGTACACTGAAGTTTCCTACTGTCACTGTTATGAACCCCATAGACACTCATGCAAATAGTACTTACGATTTACTTGTCACTCAAATTGTACGACTTGCTTGTCAAGAAAGTCGTTTGTGTGTGTGTTTGAGGTATCCAACGTCTTGTCATCAAGCAAGACGGAAGACTGTATCTCCAAAGACCGGTTTATCTCGCAGTTTTAGACACCGAAGATTGACGATAATTTATTAGCAGCTAGAGCGGGGTCACAATTAATAGCACTCATGAGTTTACTAATTCCAACTAAAGCAATATAAGTCTCTTATGATGTAAATGAAAAGGGTGCGCCAAAATTCACTCAAGATTAAAACTGAATATAAAACATATCGCATTTTTTTATCCATCCTTTTTCCGTCACCATTTATCCGAGAATGTGGCTGAATTTTGTCAATGCATCGTTGAATTTTCTACTGAACCGGTGAGTGTTTATGTGGTTATTTCTACCTAAACTGCGGTTTTAAAAATAGGGTGGCACATGACAACTCAATTACTGCATGTTACGTTTGCCTGACATTTATTCCCTGGTTTTTCCCTAATTTGTGCACGAGGTGTCTCCTGGTCGTGTATATTCTTGACTCGATGCTAACGGATGCCGCCCTAGATAGTGCGACTCAATGCTACTGGTTTTCCTTGCATTGAAAGAGGGAATTGAACATTGCCTTAACAAAATTTATCCACATTCATGCAAAACGGTCATGAGCGTTTTTTACAAATGAGCGGGTATGGCCTGCATGGCCAAGGAGGTCATTTGCCTAAAATATTAATCTACTGGTATACATCACCCTAGTATGAAATCATAGAGTACACTGAAAAAGTTATACTTCTAAAGCATTTGCTTCAACAAAGACGACGAATTCATTCCGGTACCCTTATTCAAATTAGTAAGTTCGTTATGTGAAAGGAGATATCTGAAGGTGTTTGCGTAGCTACCAAAACGTCTATTACCCATGTAGCTTCTAGTTATAGGATATAATTGTCTAATGGTAGTCCATCTGCCACGTTATTCTATGATTGTCAAGTTGCATGCATCGCTAATAAATTAACTTATCTGAAGAGAAGACAGACTTATTTTATGCGAAGTATAAAATACTCTATCTGAGTCTTGAAAATTGCAGATCTTGCTTTTAAGGTATATACACATAATCATGAATTGAATCCACGTTCATTGTCCCGCCTGTTTATCTGAATCTGACTTTTCTTATGTGGGCCATATTAAAGGGAACGACTTCCAATAACATATTCGTTCATACATAATTCATAAAAATGAAGGATGGGATATCCGCAGCTTTCTACGCATATCCGATATAAGAATATGTCTGTTTACTTTGATGGCTGCTTCTTATGGGGCGAAATATAATGCGTCAATGCTCCGACACTTCACTGATATAGCTTAGACTGCCTTTGAGAAAATTAGACTCAAGCGTAGGTAGCTAAGACCTTATTTGCCGCATAGTATATCCCATCTCATCCCATCTACCCCGGAAAATATGAAGGAAAGGATTAAGGATGCTTTTCTGAACATAAGGGAACACATGCTGAGGGATGTGCAACGGTCATTTATTCAAAGACTTCGGCTGTGTATTCAACATGGTGGAGACATTTTCGAGCAGTTTTTGTAGATTAGGTCCTGAGTTGTTTGTTTAAGTTGTTGTTATAGTTGTTTTCCCCTATTACGCTTGAAGATGTATTATACTGTTCTGATTGTTATTAGTTCTTACGTCAAATCTGTATTCTTAGTGGTTATATAGAACTAGCCCACTGTTTGTCTTTTGTCTCCATGGATGATGTGATTTTTTTCCTTAATTTTGGTGTGTTGTGCTAATAAAAGCTTAATAACTCAAAATCTAATTTTATCTGAACCAAGCCTTATACCAAAAGTGAGCTTAGAAAAATTAAATCTAAACTTGCACAAATATACAGGGTGATGCATTTGAAATTTTTTAGAAAAAGCACAATTTGCGTTTTTGATCATCCTGTATGAGCAAAAACGAAAATTCGAAAAAGTAACAATTGAGACAAAAGCGTTGGTTTTTTTTATAAAAAATTCAGCACTCACAAATTTTCAAATGGCGGATTGAGGGGTTGCCGGGGGGGTGGACGGTTTTTCTGGACAAAACACCTTACATCTCAGTAGCTAATTACCAAAATCCCATAGTACGTCACATCAATCTGCTTCTTTTGAATTGGTTTATCCAAACATGCAATAAAATATGAGGCATTCCATTTAAAAAATCACAACTTTGATATGTAGGTCAAAATTGGGACACACTGTGTAATTGCCAATATTTTATAAATGTGCCCTCAAATGTCATGTATAACATGCCATAAATCGATTTTCACAAAGTTTATTTGTTCATGAGTAACATTCCGTCCACACATGGATGGGCCACCCTGTATATATATATATATATATATACGAGGGATGTCTTTTAAGTTTTGCATATAGAAACATAGTAGGCCGCGCGTATCGAACGTCAGTTCTGAATCTTGACCTCACTCTTTAGTAAACTTAAATTCAAAGTAACACAATAATACGTGCAGTGTTCTCACTACAGTGCAATTTTAAGTGTCACCAAGTCATTAGAAAAATGGAACTCAAACATTTTCACACCATAATTTATTACAACTTTCAGAGAATTATCGCAAGAAGAATACCTTGCTGAGTTCCTTTTTGTTTTCATCAAAGAAGCGCCACATCAGTCGATAATTTCCCGTTGGTATGGAGAATTCAAACGTGGACGGGTGAGTCTTAGGGACGATCCCAGGGTGGGTGCACCAAAAACAGCAGTCACCCAGGAAAACGTCGATGCTGTGCGCAAACTCATCATTGAAGATAGACATGTGACATATCGCGAGATTGAGACGTCCTTGAAGATCTCAAAGACCTCAATTCAAAAAATTTTACATGAAGAATTAAGAGTAAATAAATTAGTTTCTCGTTGGATACCCACCTGTTCACTGAAGAGCAGAAAGCAGCCAGGGTTAATTGGTGTCAAAAAACGCTTGACCGTTTCAATTCCGGAAACTCAAGAAATGTGTACAGCATTGTTGGTGGTGATGAATCGTGGATTTACTGTTATAAACCAGTAAATAAACGACAGTCGGCTGTTTGGGTGTTCCAAGGTGAAGAAAAGCCAAAAAAAGTCATCCGTTCCCGAAGTGTTTCGAAAAAGGTGGTCGCGAGATTTGTGTCAAAAGCGGATCATATTGCAACAATTCCTCTTAATGAGCAAAGAACTCTTACTGCGGATTGGTATACCACCATCTGTTTGCCAAACGTCATCACTGAGCTTCGAAAAATCAACCACGAAAGAAGAATCATCCTCCACCAAGACAATGCAAGCTCGCACATAGCCCAAAAAACAAGACAGTATTTAACGGAAGAAAATGTGGAATTATTGGACCATCCTCCATATAGTCCCGATCTAAGTCCTAACGAGTTTTTTACTTTCCCGAAAATTAAAAGCAGACTGCGTGGACAAAGGTTCCAGTCACCAGAAGAACATTTGACGCATTCAAAAATGCCGTTTTGGATCCGCCAGCAAACGAGTGGAATAAGTGCTTCGAAAACTGGTTCAAGCGCATGCAGATGTGTATTAACCTTCGTGGTGAACAATAAAGTCATTTAAAACTACCTACCGTGTTGTTTTATTTCCATTTTTCAAAACTTAAAAGGCATCCCACGTATATATATATACTCGTATGTATGTATATGCGGGAAGCAGTCATTGCCATTGCCACCGACCAGTTGGGCAAGAATTACAATCAATTGTTAATTGGGAAATTGGCAAATTTTTTTTGGGCTATAATAAACTCTTTTAACTGTAATCTCGAGCTTCCGGCTTCTCTACGGAACCATCTTCAGGAGCTGAAAACACAAATACGGAGCTAGCAACCAATACGGGAAGGGTTTAAATTATCAGACACAACTTACTCGTCGCTGAGGTTGCAGCCAAATGGTGTTTCAAAACGAAAGCGTGGATGAGAGCACTTATTACAAATATAAAACCAAAAGGACGGACACATCGGGTTTATTGATAACGAGAGAAACCATCGTTAGGTGTTAACACTATATATCAATACACCCGAACACATTAAAAGTTATCAAAAAGCAATTTTGGGGGAAAATAACCGGCAGAGTCCCTTCTAACCTCCTACATCTGTTTCACGTGGAGAAAATGAGCGTCGGTAGATGACAGGTGATTGTTGCGAAGGAATGTGGAAATGTAAACATCATTGCCAAACTTCAGGTATAGTGTATACGAGAGACGCTCGATGAAAACTCTTACTATACGTGCTGGATTAAATTTGTTCTGGAAGAAGTGTAATTCATATGAGTGTACGAGTGTAAGATGGTGATACACGCTTGACACGATGGGTTGTATGAAAGTATATTAAAATTTATTATTACCGTGAGGGCAATGTTTCAATTATCAGGATAGATAATTGGTATTGTGTTTTAATTTTGGGAGTAGGTTAGACAAACTGGAATATGTAGACGTTCTAACTTTTCGCAATCCAACAAGTAAGAATAAATGACACAAAGCTGCTTAACATCAGCCTTTTTATTCATGCTATGATCTGTCATGAAAATGTGGGACATTTGTAAAAACAGACATTTTGAGAGTTGTTTTTCCTTGTCGAGAACCTTAATACTGCCATAACTCATAGAATGACCTGTGGTGTTAACATGTGATGCCAAAGCACATCTTTCTGGATGTAATCTGGCGTCACTTTTGTGTGAGGTTATCCTGCCTTTTAGTGATGTTTGTTCTATGTAATCTAAATTACTGTTGTTGCAATTGATGCGATAGACAGTGTTGGTTGAATCAAGCAACTGAACCTTATCTTTCATTTTGTAAAACACTATTGACTGTGACAACTGATTTACAAGCAAAACGACAATTAGGGGAATTATGCAGTCTGATCAATTTTTGAGTTAATTTTTTGATGTATGACAACGCAACATAATTAACTCTGGAAATAGAGGCATCAACCGCAGTGCTGTCATTCTCATTAGTTGAAGAATTAATGGGCGTCGGGTTGGACAGGACAGTGTTGTCATTGTCAATATTGTTATTCGCAGTTGACAAAATATTAGGAGGAGCAATGAACAGGATTCTGCTAACCAAATACTTCGGATAACCGTTATTGATGAATAAGACTGAAAGCGTCCCTATCGTTTGTCTTCCTTATGAAAGGATGTATAATATTGTCGAAGTTTTTAACAGCTATGATCCCTACATTCAGTTCACCTTCGAAAAAGAAGATGATAATCAATCAGCTCCCTTTTTGGACTCAATATTGATTCGCACCAACGATATATTACTGGTAGACTGGTACAGGAAACCAATTTCTTCCGGAAGGTTCCTGAACTTCAAGTCTTACCACAAACTTAAAATAAAGAGAAACCTGGTGAAACAAATGAAGGACAGGGTAACGAAAATCTCTGAAAATACTTTCCATTTTTCCAATTTAAGGACGCTTTCAGTCTTATTCATCAATAATGGTAATCCGAAGTATTGGGTTAACAGAATCCTGTTCAGATCTCCTCTTAATATTTTGCCAATTGCGAATAACAATATTGACAATGACAGCACTGTCCTATCCAACCCGACGCTCATTAATTCTTCATCTAATGAGAATGACAGCACTACGGTTGATGCTTCTATTTCCAGAGTTAATTATATGTTAAATGGAAGACCCTCCTTCTATGTAACATTTTTTCTTCGAGGGCTTCATTAAAAATAAGAAACAATTTTTTTAATATCTTCTAAACCGTCAACTGGAATGAACTAAAATTTGATATGTGGATTAACCTAAGTATTTTTTATATTCAAAAGCCTTTGCTTAGAATAAACGTGCACCACTAGCGGAGATACGTGGGATTAGTAAAATTGTTTTTCCAAATAAAAATAGTACGCCACGGTTTTTCGAATTTTACCTTCAAATTGCTACAAATAATTACTCTTGTGTTCTTTCCTAGAGTGCATTGTTTCCGAGAAAATAAAAAAGTACAAATTAGATAATCAAAGCTTTTTTAATAAATGTTCAATAAGAATACCATTCTGACGGATACAAGTGCGGCATCTTTTTAATAGAGAAAAACATATTTCCTCAGAATTTGTTGTCGCTTGGATTTGATGAAACGCATTATCTATTCTTTCTTGTAACTGATCAACAGTATTAATTTGTTCAACATACACTAGTTCATGTAAAAGCGACCGGCAGAAACAAATCCTGGAGGTTCAAATCAAGAGATCTCGCAGGCCAATGTATGGGTCCGTTTCTGCCAATCCATCGTTGTTTTAAATAATTGTTTAACCATGCGATTATGTCACGACGACATGCGGTATGTATGTAAGTATGAGTCTGCACTTAAACGTGGATTCTTACAGAACGTCTCTTTTTTAACTACCAAATATGTTCATTATATGACCACAAAACCAAATCAATAAAATCTGCGCTTTGATTGTGTATTTGCAGTAATCACTCACAAGAATTTCGCCGTTGCACTTCGTCGCCGTGTTGCAGGCATTGCACAGTTTGCCGAAAGCATGTATAACTTCCTGACTAAAAATTCTCCCCGCAACTTTGGGAACATGGTAACTAGGCTGCAGTCCGCCTAGTACTTGTACTAGGATCATCCAACGCTAAATTAATCACCTCAAGTTTCTCTTGAACAATATGCAGGACACCATGGCCTCTAACTCCGAGAGGTTTGGCAATTCCATATTGCCGAAGTCTTACAAAAAAAAAATGGTAGCAGTAACGATAACAACCGTATAAAAAAACTTTGACAAACTATCTCCCAAGAAAAGACAAGTTGATATCAAGGCCTCCTATTTTATTTTGAAACTAATTGTATCTTGGGTCTCCATGAATCATCCAATTTATTTTATTTTTATTTCTACGGAAACAGTGCACTCTGTTACACAATTAATTATTTGTAGAAAATTGATGGCAAAATTCGAAAAATCGTACGTTTCGAAAAAGAAAACACTGGCGTAATATGTTTACTTGTAAAAATAATGCCACTAATCCCCTTACCTCCGCCACTGGTGCACGTTAATTTTAAGTAAAGACGTTTGAATGTAGAAAATACTTAGGTAAATCCACATGACAAATTTTAGTTCATTCCAGTTGATGGTTCTGAAGATATTAAAAAAAATTGAGTTTTATTTTTAAACACCTGTATATTTTTAATGAAGCCATCCAGGAAGAAATGTTACATAGATGACCCCCCTTAAATGCGGTCCTGTGCATGATGTTTAATTTTTTTTTTCACGACTTCTGAATCACCCTGTATTAACTTGAGTTATATCTAACATTTTTGAGCCTAAAAGAGTTTTCACTTATACCACTTACATGTAGTAGGGTCATATATTCGCGCTGTAGCGTGACGTTAAAAAAATCAGATAAGTAGATGTTTCCGTTTTACGCGAAAATCCTTACGCTATCGATCTTTTCAAAGTGCAGCGTTCGATTTCCAGTCAAACCTTTGATGCCTCTGGAGAGCTGTTATTGGGTACATGACTCGTTACAACGCAGACGTGATCTCACAAACACCCTTGCATTTTTAAACCGTTAAATGTACAAAGCGTTGGAATCCCCAGAAGCTGAAGAGGATGAAGCTTTTAGTTAAAGACCTGTACACGGCAGCTATTTAAGTATTAAAATAATCTTTGCAGTAAAGCGAGCTAACATTAAAAAACTACTTCATTCACTTTTATTATCCCCTTATCTTGCCTATCCCAGTGAGGCATTACTTAGGTGGCTGTGGCTCCGTTTTATGCTTGAGGATATTTTAGATTTTGATTGCGCGAGGTAATTTTGCTCAAGGATAAGGAGTTTCGCGGTGGTTATCAGGTGTCCCTGCTTGATTGTATATTACACTAGTCTGGTGGAATTAGGTTTTATTTTTGCAATTTATTGCTTAAGATATTTCCTACAAGGTTTCATAAAGAAGCTTACATTTGACACCTATTCGGTCTCTATATCATATACGAGTATACGAGCTGTCTATTATATGTTGTGTAAATGAACGAAAAGCTAGCATTCTATACAACATGCTTAAACAGATGTTCAATTATTTGATAACTACGCTCAGACGTTGTTGAAAAATTTTTTCATCCGTATATTTCTCTTTGGCTAACAGCATGCAATAGCTCGCTTCCATGATTAAGGTCAAACTTAAGATGGAATGTCTCTAGGTTTATACAAATATGAATGAACTTGTAACCAAAGAAAGTGTTTTTCACTTCATGGTACTTCCACCAGAAGTTATTGATTTCAGTTAATAGTATCCCGGAATCTGTTGTCAGGCAGTTTTGTGCAGTATCTTTTTATAGAGGTTCATGGTTCCATTTATGGACTTTCCTTGAGGATGACTGGCGTTTGAGCAAAGATCTCAATTCCTCAAGAAGCGTCCAATGCAGGATTTGAGATTGCTTATTACAGTAGGCTGTAACAGTTGCCCTTAAGGGTTTCAAAAATCTGAAAGACTTTCCAAAATTTCGAGAACCAACAATTCTGCAAATTTTGAAAAGCTTGGTAGGAGCAACTACATAGTAATAAAGCCAACAAGGTAGATACGCACCAGAAAACAACGTTGTACATTCTCTTTTAATATTT